ACAGAGACTGCGGCAGCGGCAGCGACAGCTGCTGCCGCCACCACAACACCATCCAAAGAGGGTAAATGCGGGCTTTGCATGAGCAAATTGTTCTGCTGTCGGCGCGTCAACAAAGTGGATCCCACAACGGGCGACGAGACAGAGTTGAAGAAGTGCTGTTTCTGTATTCCTTGTCGGCGTAAGAAGGGCGGCCGCGGCGCTTCAATCGGTTCCACAGTTTCGCGAGGTAGCTCCGTGGCCTGGCAAGATCCGGAAACTGGTATAGCGGCCACTGATGCATCGGTGGTGGAGGGCGCCAGCTCGCCAGAAATGCTGCCGCCACAGTAAGTCTATTGCGCGTGCTCGGTAAGAATGTAGCGGAGATAACTAATTGTCGTCTGCACTTTCAGGGGTTGTTGCAAACGCTTTTGGAACAAACTACTGTGCTGTCGACGCAATAAAGTGCCGAAACCAAGCGAAAGTCGACGGGCGAGCATGAAAGCGCCGCCGCCACCGAGTGAGGTAAGAACACTTGAAGTTGAAAATGAAACGCGTTTTATAATTACCAATTACCTCAAAACACCATAGGATACACGGCGAAAATTGCACGTCGACTTGGTTGAGTATAACTCGAAAATGAAGGGCGCTATTCCGGTGTTGCCGCTTTCCTTGGCCTGGTTTTGCGTTATCTGCAACACCATTGTTCCTGGATTGGGTAATGGAGCAAACAAAGTACTCTTTCTCTCTAATAACTTCTCCTCCTACAGGCACTTTGTTCTCTGGCATTTTTTGCCTGTGCGTCGGCATTCCACGCTTCTCGCAATATGACAGCGCTAAGGCGCGCTTCGGTTCCTTCATTATCAACATCATTGTGGCTGTGGCGCAATTGTTTTGCGTGCTCTTCTGCTTTGTGGGCTGGGGCTGGTCCATCTGGTGGGGCACCATTATGCTAAAGTGTGCAAGTGAGTATCGCTTAAGCAGCGCGCACCCGCGAATTTGTTTTTGTAATTTTTTACTTCATTGTCACAGGAAAATTAAGCAAAATCAAAAAGGTTGAGCGTTTAGAAATGGAAGAGGAGCGTCGTCAAGCAGAGGCGGCAGCAGCAGCAGCTGCAACTGCGGCAAGAGTGACAGCCAACGCTGGCGTCGGTACCGCGGCAGCGGCGCCGGCGACAACAGAGAGCGCGACATAAAAACACAGGCGGATGAACAAACAAAGGGCGTAATGGAAATTTTGTTTTAAGAGGGAGAAAAAATACAAAGTTACGTTACTAAGTATCCGAGACGAACAGAGGTTTAAGTAAACTTAAAGCCACTGTATATTACTTCCAAATCGGCATTAAATATAGTCGCGAAAAAAGCTTCCTATCACACTTCCGAGAACGAATAGATCAGAAAACCTGAAGGGCAATGTAAACTTTTGAGATTGAGTTGTAAACTGAGCTATTGAGAGCTAATAAGGATAACAGCGTAAAAGAAATTGAAAACATGGTGCCTTAATTCTATAACTAGATCTTCTGCTCCCAAATGTAGGAGTGTTGAAAATTCAAATGTTTGTATATAAGTAAATATATATGTATAGTATGTGACTAATATCTTAACGAACGATTACAAGCAAGCAAAATCGCTGTTTTCCAAAAATTAAATAATACAAATACATACATATGTACATATCGTCACCTGAATTGCAGAAAGACGTAACAAACAGCATCGTAGAAATGCCAAGTCATAACTAATAAAAAATCAAAAATTCACTTTTCGATTTACATGATGGATTTCATCATTTTATGAAGAAAAAAAAATAAAATATTCACGTCTTTTTCCATTTCATTTACAATGTTGTTACGTCTTTTTGCATTTCAGGTGACGCGATATAAAAACGAAATACATATGTATGCAGAACAAATTAGAAAATGTATATCTTCCATAGAAAGCGCGGGAAGATATTATTTAAAATATTTTTAAAATACTATAGAAAATTATATAGACCGGCGCTTCCGCGTTAAAATTAGATAAATATGAAATAAGATATGGTGCACTTAAAGAAATCCAACTGGGCTTCGTAACGGATGTGTTTTGTTACTTAATTAACATACATTTATAAAAAAATAGTATATATAAGTAAGTTAAAGTATTTTAAGTGATAGTAAAATTAACGCTTATACATACATGCAAACATGCATACATTTAAATAGTGAAAATTTTAAAACATTTTATTTCTCAAAATGAGCAAATTAAAATTAATCGAGTACATGCTTGAAGATTGTACATATGTATAGCAAAATGTTGATTTCTATCTTCCGATGTAAATAAATTTAATTTTTTTATAATTTATTTAGATAAAATACGAAGAAAATAAAGTGAAATATGTATATGTATGCAAATACTTATATGGGTACTTGGGATAAACTTCGAATTAGTACGGTACAGACGAAGCGCACTAATTACAACCACTTTGTAATTGCGGTGGTTCCCATGTTCGGATTACTGTTTTAATTTCTTAAGATTTTTCTCAGACCAAAATAATATAAAATATAATTTACAGTAGGGATATTCTCTAAATCCTGCCAGTTTTCCTATAGGAAAAATTTACAACCGTGCTATCTTACACTTAGAAACTACCCCTAGTATTTTCTTTTTTCATGTCATCTGTTATACAGGACGGTTTTGTTTTTTGGTCGCTTAGGTGATAATATTACGAATCGCTAAAATATTAGGCATTACTTAACTAAAGTGATTACCCTCGCGATGGCAAGGGAATAAGACAGGGCTGGTTGTTTTTCTTTTTTTAAGTCTATCACTTTACCTAACCAGCGCCACATATATCCACATTTGAAACTTCATACAAAAATTAGGAAAATTCAAGAAACTTTAACATTTGAACCCAAAAATTTTAAACTTTTTATTTAGAATTTTTAGAANCACTTAACTAAAGTGATTACCCTCGCGATGGCAAGGGAATAAGACAGGGCTGGTTGTTTTTTTTTTTCTTTTAAGTCTAGCACTTTACCTAACCAGCGCCACATATATCCACATTTGAAACTTCATACAAAAATTAGGAAAATTCAAGAAACGTTAACATTTGAACCCAAAAATTTTAAACTTTTTATTTAGAATTTTTAGAAAAATTTTGGGGATGCAGTTTTGTAGCTCATTAAATTTTAGTAGGTTAAAGTGTATATTTCAAAACTCTGGAAAATCGCGATGATTTTTTAATAATTTTCGATTCGAAATTTCAACACCTCAATTTAAGAAATGCATTTTTGATTACATTTTTTTTTATTTGCATGCAGCTGTGCAGCATCCTTCTCAAAATTTTATATCACTGGAATAACAAGTACCCTGTAGTGCTATTTAAGATCTTTAATTTGATCCACGATGGAAATCTTTAGGCGCTCTGAGAGCCAAGTTTTAACAATTTTAAACTAAAATTCGAATCTGCTATTCGGGTTTTTACTCTGAAATTAGAAAACAATGCAAAAGTGTCGAATGAAATTTCGAAGTTTAACTTCAAAATCGTTATAATTTGGCTCTCAAAGGGCCTAGAGATTTCTACCATGGCTCAAATTAAAGATCTTGAATAACACTACAGCGTACTTGTTATTCGAGTGATATAAAATTGTGAGAAGGTTGCATAGCTGCATGCAAGTAAAAAAATGCAATCAAAAAAGCAATTACTAAACTGAGGTGTTAAAATTTTTTTCGATTTATATACAGTGGAATCGTATTTCTCGTCTCAAAATCTATATAAGTGTAATAAAAAAACGAACAAATTTTTTTGGAATAAATCCGTTGGATTTTGTATGTTGTTTTTGAAGAGCACTATTTTTGACCAATTTTTTTATGGTCAAGGATTATTTGTGGTTAATGGCAGTATTTTTCCGTGAAAGGGGATAACATAAGCTTTCAAGAACTTTCCTTTAATATCAAAATATTGCTTCTGTTGAAAGCGCTACGATTAATTCGTATAGAGTGTTTAAAAAGCACACTGCGCGTCGTCAGAATACCGAGGTAACATCATGTTTGAAACGCTCAAACACGTAATTAATATGTGAGTAGAATATGAAAATGACTAGGAGGCTTCGTATTGNATATCACTAGAATAACAAGTACCCTGTAGTGCTATTTAAGATCTTTAATTTGAGCCACGATGGAAATCTTTAGGCGCTCTGATAGCCAAGTTTTAACAATTTTAAACTAAAATTCGTATCTGCTGTTCGGGTTTTTACTCTGAAATTAGAAAAAAAATGCAAAAATGTCGAATGAAATTTCGAAGTTTAACTTCAAAATCGTTATAATTTGGCTCTCAAAGGGCCTAGAGACTTCTACCTTGGCTCAAATTAAAGATGTTGGATAGCACTACAGCGTACTTGTTATTTGAGTGATATAAAATTGTGAGAACGAAGCACAGCTGCATGCAAGTAAAACAAAATGCAATCAAAAATGCAATTACTAAACTGAGGTGTTAAAATTCGTTTCGATTTATATACAGTGGAATCGTATTTTTCGTCTCAAAATCTATAATATTAGTGTAATAAAACATACAAACAATTTTTTTTTTTTTTGGAATAAATCCGGTGGATTTTGCATGTTGTTTTTGAAGAGCACTATTTTTGACCAACTTTTTTATGGTCAAGGATTATTTGTGGGTTAATGGCAGTATTTTTCCGTGAAAGGGGATAACATTAGCTTTCAAGAACATTTCGTTTCGCATGGAGTGTTCAAAAAGCACACTGTGCGTCGTCAGAATACCGAGGTAGCATCGTATTTAAAACGCTCAAACAAGTAATTAATATGTGAGTAGAATATGAAAATGACTAGGAGGCTTCGTATTGCGCTTTTCTCGAACACTTACGTACTCCTATGAAAGTTACTTCGAACCCTCGAATGTTCAGCTAACAGCGTTGTGAGGAAATTCCGAAAACTACGGACGTACATATGTACATATTTGGAAGAAATTAAACTTTGCGCTTCGCTATTCATTTCATTCATATTTATTCATGTACATATATATATATATATTTTGTTGATTATTTCACATTTAGTACATATCCATATATCATTCATATACATATCTAGTTATGCATGTATTATCAATAGATCACTTAAACGTAATAATTTTCTGTTCGCAGTTCCATTTAAAGTACATTTAAAATTATAGGTTTTTAAGTATTTTTGAAACGCCATCAATGCAACGTTTCGCGTTAGATCCATAGGCAACGAAATCAAAAGCACTAAATAATCATAACATAATTTGGGGGTGAAGGTAAAAACAAAAGTCGATAGTCACCAATTTCTATTCGGTAAGCAATTTAATACCAAACGATACCTAATAATAAATTTAAAAATAATAATAATAATTATGAAACTAAACACGTATTTTTATATTTTACTTGGTTTTTGTTGTTTAATAATAAACAGGTAGGTACAGTTAACAGTTAGGATCACACTAGTCAAATTATAAACTAAACCACTATCAAAAAATAAATGTATGTAATTACAGCTTAAATATACAATTAAAAATAATTTACAATTGATAGATTAGATGAAAAAAGAACATTGCAAAACCATAACTGAGCTGAAGTCATTGATACAGCTAATTTAAGTTCAACATTTTAAAAGTACCACTCAAACGAATCTTCTCTGACTTTCTTGAAATTCAAATAATATTTTGTATAGCAAACTGGATATTCAATTCGAATTAAGTAAAATAGTTGTAAAAAGCAGTGTAAGCGTTGAAATGAGTATCGTTAAACGGTCGTGTTGGCTGAACGAAAGAATGGCACAAAAAAGAAGCGTGTGAAGCAAAAACCGTACAAAACTGGGATTTAGGTCTTAGGACAATATAAATTATTTCATATTTGTTCACTATGTTGATTTTTATTCTTTTGTGTTACTTTTGCTTACAAAACTAACGGACGTTTTTTCAAATTTGTGTTTAAGTTGCACGCAACAGGTTTTGGTTTTTTTTATTTAGTATTTTAATTTTGAGTTTATTAAAAAGAATTATTCTCTAATAAAACTTAAAGGTATAAAAGTACTTCGGATGAATTAACATACATGTGTACTATATAGCGCGAAATAAAATTGTCTATAAAAAAAATTAAATAAGAGAAAATTCAATTTGTATTATTGCAATTTGGTTTTTCTGCAACTTCGACCATTTTATATTGTGTGTTCAGTAGAGGGTCGTGCTTCGTAATTGTCCGCGTTCACAGTTATTGCAAACGCTGCCGTTCGTTTAGAATTGTGCATCGGCGCTTAGACATTCATAAAAAATAAACAGTGATATAGATTTTTCAGTAGTAAACGAAAGGCTCAGGAACCAAATGTTACATAGGTATGTATGTAGTTAGGGCATTCACCAGCTGTCATAACCACCACATTGTCACGAATTTTTAGCCCTACAAAAATGTATGGCCTAATGACAAAACCACTTGTTATGTCACCCAGTGTATCGGCCTAAGTATTTGATTTTTAATTTCAAATCGGTTCATTCACGCTTTCGTAAGGCGGAATTATTTATGCAAACAAGCAAATTGTTGATTAATCAATAAGTAATTGCTATGCTCAAGGAAAATTTTTACTTGACTTGACTGTCGCTGTTGTAGAAAATGAATTCATCTTGAAGACTAACTACCGCAGAATTTTCATTCAACGTTTCTTCATAATAAGTTACGCTTTTTTATGCGTAAACGCATTGTAAAAATGTATTCATAATCATTCTTTTTTTTTGGGATTTCCCAAAATTGTTTAGATAATGCGAATTAATTGTTTTTTTACTTAAGAGTCGTCTTCACTGAGTTGCGAGTTGCGGACGAGAGACATATTTTAAATTTTAGCGCCGTGGCGATTCATTGCAAAACGCACTTGTCCTTGTCGCCACTGATATCCACCTGTTCCAGTTCACGCGCAATCTCATGATCGTCCTCGATACTAAAAAAAAGTTCGGAATAGGTAAAAAATTTGCTGCTAAGAAACCTTCACTAAAAAAACTTATGTGATGTTTAAAATAAGTTATAGTATATTTTTAAAGACGTTTGTTTAGTAAAATTTCGCAAAAGTATTGGAATATAAAAGTGAGTCAAAAATGGCATTCGTCCGTCAAGCATAAAACCGAATAATTCAATTTCAGAGCGTCCATAAGACAAATGACTACAATTACCAAGTCGAACAAATAAAGCTTGCAACTAAAAAACTAGAGTTTCAGTCTCAAATGGGTTATGTTTAAATTTTTTACTCCTACGTTCGATTCTTTCAAAGTAAAACAAAATGTTTAAAATGTGTATGAATGTAAAAGTTTTTCGGCACATACGCAATTTCCTGACTGTGTAAGTGCTGCACCAACTGATCACGTTTGTCCACAATGGACACTAGTTCCTCGAGCAGCAGTCGCTCCTTTTCACGTTGTGCTTCCGTTTTCCGCCAATCTTCAACGGACTGCGCGGCACGCAACTCCTGATTTAAAAGCGTGTATTTGCGCTCCAAATCGCTTTCTTGCTCACTGCAAAATATAAAGAAGGGACGAGGTTGCAATTTGTTGGCAAATAAAAAAATTATTCAACATCAGAGAATAAAGAATCGAAGTTTCAATACGATTTCCGAGCACTTACAGTATATTGAGCTGCATTTGGCGTCGTAGCAGCGCGTTCTTTTTGTTGACGAGCGTAAACCATTGCGACAGCAATTGCTCCTCCGTTTCATCGGTTTCTGTGCCAGCAGAGACAAAACAATTATTATTACACGGAATTAAATAAGCACAAATAGTCAAAAGTTAAACGCCAAAAATATTGAATTAACATTTTAACAATAATACAATTAAGTATGAATTAGAACTTCTAAACAAATGTACAAATTGCGCTAAGATTGCAGTGATCACATTGTAATAAGTGTAGTAATGAAATGTTTAGCAAATATATTGTGTCACAAAAATCTGAGCCCTTGTGGTGAGTTTAGTATGTGGTGAGTAGAGCGCTACGAATACGATTGCGATGTTAAGAATTTTGTTTCTAAATGTTAGGCATACGAGCTGAGCAGCTGTGCCTTATTTCGATTTCGATTCCTTTAGCCAATAGTCGGAAGCATTGTTTTTACTCAAATCGCTTCTCTTTTCTTACAAGCAGGATTGATGAAAAAGCTTTCCAAGTTAAACACACAAACAGCTAAGACGTTAATAAAACTACATATGTTTACAAGTTAGGTACAGCGTTAAAAGCTGAGTTAATACGGGATGCAATTAAAATGTTAGAAGCGAAGACAGCGGCGCTTTGGCTTTACAACTGGGCGGCGAAAGCAAAAGGGAATGCGCGCAATCTGTGTGTTAATTATAGCTTGCTCAAGCTGCGAAAGTAAATAGCGGCAGAAGGCTGTTTTTGTTAGCGCACGACTTTACAACACCAAAACGAGCCGAAGCGTTCAAGCTAAGCGTTTTAAGCAATGAACTATGAGCGGTGATCTGCGATCGGTTAGCTTCCAAAGGGCAAAACGGCAACACAACATCTTCTGTGATGGGGCACAACCAATCAATAGACGACGAATCGAAAGAGATATGCTTGCGCTGTGCCAGAATAATTGCTGTAAGCGAGTAAACTTTGCGCACATGCATTTTGCAATTGCGTTTGTGAGCGGCTTTTGTTTTGACGTTTATTTTTGTTATCGTAGTAATATTATGTAGAGTTGTAGTAATTTAATTGCAAATTTGAAAAAGTAACTACAGGCTTTAAGTGACTCAATGCAAAAACAAATGTTTACCACCATCGCGACAATGGCATTGGCAACGACTACGCGACCGTCTTTGGCTGTCGGGCGGTTCCTCGGTTCGGCATCGAATTCGCCGCATCTCATCTTCAACTTCGCCCCCGTCATAGGGCAGCTGTGCGTGCACCTTTGGCAGATTATCACAGGAGGAATGATTTGAGGAAGCTGTGGTGGTTGTTGTATTCGTATTGGAGGAGGAGAAAATAAAATTGAACGGCGCAAAAGCGTTTGTGAAATTTCGGCTACTTATAAACCTATTGTGTTGCTGTTGCTGATGCGCATGATTTCTGTGGTTTTCATTCGCATCGACAATACACGATTGTGAGCGTGGACGGTGGCGCGGCGGCAACAGCTGCTGTTGGCCAGCATACTCCGCCGCTTGCGTGCGTTGATGCTGATGTGGGCGTCGTCGTCGCTGACGCCGCCGGCGAACTACACGCTCGCCAGCAACTGCATCCGTCGACAACGCCACTGGCACATCTTTATCAGCACGCTCTGCCGCCTCCTCATCGCTGGACAACGATGAGGGCGTCACGGAGCCCGACGATGTGCACGGCGAAGTATCTTCGCCCGAAGGCGACAATGAAAACTGGCCATCGCTATCCATGTCGAGCAACTTAATACGTATATTATCACCACCACCAATACTATTACGTATCAATCTAAGGAAAGGGTTACGCTGTGAACGATTATTACTTGGATTGCCGCCCATGACTGCGCGCAGTTTCTTCTCCAGGCTGCTTGCCTTCTGGTCGATGGCTACCTGTTCACGCTCCAGCGCTTCCAATTCCGATTCGATGTAGGAGAGTTTGTCACCCTGTGGCAGAGAATGTTGCTATTATGCTATGAGAAAACAAAATCGATGAGCTACTACACCTACCTTCTTATCATTCTTTGGTGAGATACGCTCCATGACGGCATTGAATGACTGCAGTGGACTGTTGCCGCCGCTGTTGCTCGTGCCGTTGCTGAAGCGTTCGCTTAATCTATGACTAGGACTCAACATTTTACTATTGCTATTGGTTGTCGCTGACAAGGCATCCACGTCGCGCGGCGGTGTGATCTTCTTCGTTGGCGACATTGGCACCTTTGTTGGTGAATTGTTGCCCACGCTTGGCACACCATAGTCCTCGATGCCATTGTGGATGGGTGAAATGGTGCGTTCAGGTGAGAAGTTCATGCGTTTCAGCTTGGTGGGTGTGGTCGGGCTATCCAAGTTGCCGCCACCGCCGCCGCCATTAACTGATTTGGTACGAGTCTCGAGAATTAGGCGACGCGCTTGCTCACGTAAACGTAGCTGACGTTCCTCCTGAAAATGGCCAAATGATATATTAGAATAGTAAAGTTGGAATTAAAGGAATTAAAGAAAAAAAAGTTTCAATTGTATTTTTAATGAAGCCAGTAATTCAACAGCAAAAAATTCAAACTGAGTACTGTGATAACTTGCGACGCTTTGATGCTGCGCTGTATGATTACTTACGTCGTTCTCGTTGCGCTCAACGCCGTTGGAAATTTTCAGCTTCTCGATCATCAATTTAGCTTTTTCACTCATCTCTTTGTGTCGAGACAAAATGCGCTGTGGTTTTTAAAGCGTTTTATTTTTGTAGTTTTGGTGAATGGACGGGTAGATGAATTTTAAACCGAAAATGATAAGCCAAAAACGAAAGCCAAAACAAAAGCGAATAAAATCAAAAGCGAGCTCAAACTATATCAAATTGATTAAAATTAAATAGTATGAACTAAACTACAAAACACTCGCATAAATTAATATAATAAATTAGTAATGTAGTATATATAAAATTTATGATCCCAACTAAAGATTAAAAAAATCATTCAATAAAAATGAAAGCGCCTGGGCCACACTACTGAAGTGAAACTGCTCTCGATTTATGTTGCAGAAATTAGTATACTACGTTCTGATTTAATATCTAATCTTAATATAAGCCCTGACAAATCTTAAATCTTCAAATCTTAAGCTAAATATTAATCTTAACCTAAGCTTCTGCTTAGCAAGTTGCCATAATTACCTACTAAACGAAGTTTCACTTCAAAAAATAACTTTAATAATATTGAATTATCTTGAAGGGAACATTTTACAGCAAAGCAGCCAGTAGCAGTGGGCTTGCGCTCATAAACTAATTTCAGAGTTAAAATAAAAGCCAAGCAAAATCGTCTTACAAACGCAGTACTCACATTCGCCGCATTGGGATCCAGCGCTGTTGGCGAATGGGGCGTCCCCTGCTTTGTTTCTGATCGCACCAAATTCGATTTATTATAAAAGTCATCCGTTGAAGCACCAACACCCGTGTCGGCATTTGTATTCTCCTTGTCCTCGATGGGAGCTGTCTGATTGCCCACATGACTATGATGTGATGCATTGATCGAATTCTTATCCTTTGTTGGTGAAAGCACTTTGCCCAAAATATTCTTCGAGCCCGCGAGTATTAAATTCTTTACATCCTTCTTCGCCGTTGGCGAAGGTTGCGCTGGCGTTGAATTGTTTTTCGTCTCGATGCCTAAGATGTCGTCGTCGAGCGAATTCTGGTGCAACAATTGCGCTTTCAAGTGGCTTAAATTGAGTAGATTCTGCGAAAGGTTGTCCGACTTGTAATTACCGATCACATAACTTGACTCGTCTGACGTGGGTCCTGAGTATGTAGCAAAAGGTAGAAGGTGAAATTCATTGAATTAATAATTAACGAAAATAATAGAAGAAATTTAGTATCATTGATTTGCTTCTTCATATTGAAAAGTAAATTGAAAGGCCGCGCCTGTTGTGGCACACTTCGATTTGCTCACCAATTTGTTCAATTTGCAATTGTTTGCCTGTGAAATGCGCTCGCAACTGATGCAGATACGTCATGACAGCCAATTTGTCCGGCACAGCCAGCAAACTCATGTCACGTGGCTCAATGACGCGCGGTATGCCAAGCGATTCGGCGGCATCGAAGGCGGTGCGGCAGTTGCCCACCACATCGTGTGCGGAGATTTTCGACATGTCACTGAAAGGAGGGCACAGAAAGGGAAAATAAGCCGGGTGGCAGACATGAAATCAACATAATTACATGTTTAATTAATTTAAATATATTTCGTCTATCACTCACATCAGGTCCGGCTCAAAGTGATGGATGATTGCACAGAACGCCATGCCGTTACGCCAGCTGGTCGTCAAATTGGTCACCTTCACATTCGGATAGTCCTTAGTCACATCTTTGCACCACTCCAGCAAATCTTGCCCTGGTGTATTCTCTTTCAAGACGATTTTCTCCACTGTCTTAGCGGAACCATTCACCGTCAGACTGTTGTTGCTGTTAATGCTGCTCACATTATTGTTGTTTGGATTGCTGATGCTGTTGGTCATGGCAATGCTGTTGTTGCTCTTGCTGTTGTTGTCATGCTCATAGCTCTTCTTCAAATTGAGCGGCTGCAATTCGGCGCGTTTGATGTCGTTACGCGCGGGTTTGGGCGGCGCAACGTTGCCAACGCTTACCGACTTGCTCTTCGACTCCTCACTCTCACCCGGTTTAATTGGTGTCGTTGCTGTTGCTGCAGTAGGGGTCGACATAGACAGCAAGGAGCTAAGTGTTGTAGACTTGGTGCCACTGAACTTAGTTGGCCTTTCCTCAGCTTTCGCTTCTGCCAATTGTGTCTTTTCACCAGCTTCACCTGTAACAGAGACTGCAGCGCTGGCCACCACTTTGCTGATTTCGCCATTTTGTTGCGGTGACTCCTCGCTGTTGCTTGTGCTGCTAGTCTTGGCGCCTTGGAAGTCGATTGAGCGACGCGCACCAACTTCACTCACTGCGCTCGGCTTGCGTTCGGTCGTCTTGGCAGTGCCAGAGTTGGCAATTGGGGTCGATGTAACAATTTTACTCTTCACTCCCGCTGGATGGGCAGGCGTCAGTGCAGGAACTGAATGCTTCGGCTCTTTATCAGCAACGGTGTTTTCCCTCTCAGACTGTTGATCTGGTTGCTGTTGCTGCACTTGAGGTTGTGCAGCGCTGGGCGTCTTAAGCAGCTCGTCGCTGACATCGAAGTCAAATTGTTTCTCTGATTCGAATTCAAAATTCAAACGATTATGTTCGGCCAATGGAGTTGGGTCTTCGGACAAGGAAGGAACTACGCATACACACACATAGATACGAGCATATACAAATGGTTATCATATGGGTGATATGGTGGGTGAGTGTGTGGTCGCGTGTTGGAGTTGTATGAATTGGTTATTGAGATAAAAGTAACAAAATGCAATACATAGGGAATGCAGTGTTAAACATAAATGAAATTAACGAACATTTACAGGATCAGTTGATTAATTGAACAGTTAGAAATGATAATGGATACATTTAATTGTTCATGATTTTTTTTTTTGTGAAAAAAAATGAATTTGAGAAACGGTAGCAATAAGTTAGAGAGACGAGAGAAAAAGAAAAATATTTATACACAATTAATTTTGAAAAAATATACAAATTGCAGTTAAAAGTAGCTGCAATTGGTTTTATAAAAGGAAATATGTTAGTAGAGATTTTGTGTAGTAAAGATTTTTGTTACCTAAAAACTATGAAATTTCATCTTTTAAAATGATGCCGGGAGTTTATAAAACTATTGATCAATTTTTTTAAGGAAAATCTTGCCTTTTTTGAAGTCAAAATATAGAAACCAGTAGTTATTATACAATTATCTATTCCGTTGTTCGATTTCATTTCCTAAATTGCAAAAAAGCGTTAGCGTCAATTTGCGCACAAAAACCCGTTGCCTTAAAATATATAGATATAGGGGTTCTCTGCATTGTTTTTTTTTGTTTTAATAGCAGCATTGTGTGAGTATGAGGAAGGTACTTTAATATTATTACATTATGCCAAATTGATTCTTCTTTATGCAAAAGCTTGCATATGTACATATGTGTTTGTATAAAACTATTTAGTCTACGGTGGGTTCTACGCTACTGTACTTTACTATCATGTATGCTAAGTGTAATCTTTTCTTTTACCATTTAAAACTACTAAACCTAAACTAAATCACTAAATACTTAGTATAAACAATCAAATCAATAACGTTTTTAGTTACAGGACAAACCAGAAACCCGAAATCAAGAGAGGAAAGAAAAGGGCTACATTAAAAATTCTGTACGCACCACTCAATGGCGTTGGCAGGTCCATACAACCGTTCAAACTAGTCGTCATTTGCTCCAGCTGTTGCGTGAAATCATATAAATGATCCGAAATATCGCCCGAACTCTCCAGATCGGGTATATCCTCTAAGTCGTCCAGTGGAGCAACATCACAATTATTGTTGACGGACATCAGAGAAACGACGCTCTGCATGTCTTCATCCCTGCGAATGCGGAAAGGGATTAGTTTGGTTTTCATTTAATTTAGCAAGTTGAAAAATGTATATAGCGAAACCTTTAATTGAAACCTTTTTCAGATGAAGCGAAACCTTTTTCAAATTAAATGAAACCTTTTTCGGATTCAATGAAACTTTATTCAAACCAAATGAAACTTTTTTCAAATTAAATGAAACTTTATTCCAATTAAGTATTAAACATTTTTAAATTAAGGAACAGGAAATCAACTTAACCTATTAAGAGCCGTTTGCACCATGTCTGGCTATCACTAAAGGCTCTGTTATGCATACTTGGCATTTCTTGCGAGTTGTCACATAAGGAATCTGTGAAGTGAGCTTCGCGTGTAATCTGTTACCCAACGCACTGCATTAGATACGTAGAAGTCTGTTGGTTTTTGATTTCTACGTAAAAACACGTACGTAACAGAGCCTTAACTCCCAGTTATACATCGTTATCGACGCCATACTTATGTCAGGGAGTCGATAACGCCGATTATGATATTTAACTGGGAGAATATTTTTACTACTTTTAATATTCAAAGCTGTCAACTATTATTTTCTTAAAGGAGAAGAGGGAAATAAAGTACAAATACTCTCCCTTCTCACTCACTCGCTTAAGCGAAATGTAAAATTTGGCATTCGCATAACAATTGTCTGATTATTTTCTTCTAACTTAAACAAACTCTATGGATTAGATCACAGTCTAATCACGGCAACATTCAACTTCGGTTCAAGAATAATTTTGACATGTCCCATTTCTCTTTTCCTTTTCACATCAGCCTTTACATGTACTCCCGAAAACAGAGATATTTGAAGTTTTATAAAATCAATAAATTATATGATTTGCCTAGTTACCAAAACCCCTCGAATATCACAACAAACCACCCAACCTACCAAAGCCTTATTTTAAGATATGAAACTACCAATTTTGGTCCAATTGGACCGAAACGGCAACACTGTATTCAACGTGCCTTGACCGTAAGGGAGAGCAACGCGTAACAGCTAATTCAAAGTAATCCAAAAAAGAAGTTCCATTTCATTTGAATAAAGTTTCATTTAATTTGAAAAAAGTTTCATTTAATTTGAAAAAAGTTTCATTTAATTTGAATAAAGTTCCATTGAATCTGAAAAAGTTCTCATTTAATTTGAATAAAGTTTCACTGAATCTGAAAAAGGTTTCATTTAATTTGAAAAAGGTTTCGCTTAACATGAAAAAGGTTTCGCTTAATTTGAAAATGGTTTCATTTAAACTGAAAATGCTATATACACACACATTTATTTATGCATGTCGATGGCTAGTGGAAGATCGACCTATCTCGGCAGCCAGTTTGAAAACGCGCTAATTCAAAAAATTTTTCAACAACGCCTTATTTCAGAATTTTATTGAAAAACACCATATCTCTGAATTTGGTTGAAGAACGCCCTAACTCAGCTGCCGATTCCAAAACGATAGGGTGTTTTTCAATAAAATTTTGAAATAATGCGTTCTTCAGTCAATTTTAGAAGTAGGCCGTTCTTGAAAAGTTTTCTGAGATAGGGCGTTTTCGAACTGGCTGCCGAGATAGGTTGATCTTCCACTCAGCCATCGATATGCATGTATGTAGGTAAATAAAGAGCATACTCACGTCGCTTTGCCCTCGCGCAGAAACACACAACTAAGTGTCAATTCCAATTCGGCGGCGGTAATCTTTCGTGAGGTCGGCTTTAAGCTAAGCGTAAAGCTCTGCTGGGTCGACTCAATACTGGCGTATTTGCGCATATTTATACTCGCTGAGGCTAAGACACGCTTCTTGCCGAGTGGAGTGATCTACAAAAGAAAATAAAAGATATGAAAAATTCATAACAAATAATTCAGTTCAAGCTATTCTTTATTGTTGACGTTTTCGAGGAGTAAGGTGTAGAGCGGAGCGGAACGTTTTTCTTGTATTCGTATGCTGTTGCCTTGCTTGGGCACGTGCTCGCGGTTCAATGCTCAATAAAACTCAAAATTATGCGTGCAACGTGATCTTATTCAAATTTCATACGAATTCACACGCTGTCAATGTTGACTACTTAAAGCGCTGAGCTGGGCGCCGCACAGTGAGGCGCGCCACTGCAAATTGTGTTGAAAAATTATGAATTATGGAAATGAAAAAAAGTAACAAACAAACAAATAAATATTTCGTATGGCATTTTTCAGAGCATGAGGAGTTTACCTTGCCATTGTGCTATAGTACTACCGAGTATAGTGTAAATAGTCAGCAAGAATCCTTATATTTGTAGATCAATGAATTAAATACACAAATAAGTATTCAGGCAAGAATTATGCGACTATTTTTCTTTTTCGTTTTTCTTTTTAACAAAAAAATTTCCCAAAAATCAATGGTAAGTCCTAGCTACCTCATACTTGCACTTCAGTATACTAAAATTGAATGGGCTAAAAACTGCATACTCAACTTTTTTCTAGAGAGCGCAAATAAAAAGTGCAATATTTGAATGTAATTTTTCAGAATTTTCTTTAATTTTGCACAAGGTTTGGAACTTCGATTTTTGGGGTTTTTTGTTGTAGAATTAACCATATTTTTATAAAAAATTATCAAAAATTAAAATATTAAAAAAAAATTTGCCCGTATTGTAAAAAATTCGCTGTACCTAAACTTTATTGACTGACTGTATGTACAAAAAATTATACTAAAAATATAGTAAGGTGGAACCGCTGAGAGGCACTTTTAAAATTCTTGACGTTTCCAAGCAATTTAATTTTTAAATTTACTCACAAACTCACACACACATTTTCATTTTCAATCTCAAGCAACAACAATTTCGAACAATTTAAATTTTTTACTTTCACTTTTACTATATGATTTTAAAATGCTGGCCAACTTCAAAATAAAATCATGGCCGATAAATTGCAAAAATGCAAAAAATTATACATTTATGCACTTTCTTTTCATTAATTTTTGTTTACTGTTTAGCCACAATGTGACGCCAGTTAAGACGCCAATGAATGCTACAGTGGCGCCGCCGACCATCACCCTCGCCAGCCACATTACACCCAAGTGTATTTCGGCAGCGTAATAAAATTTTTTGCTATTTTTTCGAATTAACGCTATTAAAATGTAAACATGAATCTGTACGTGACTCTAAAATGCGGCAAATAAAAATTTGGCCAAGAATTTTTTGACGTTATTGTAATAAGAATATGGAATATTTGAAATTCATAGAAATTTCATTTGGTTTGGCGTACAGAAGGACGCTACATAGGATTCGAAAAAAAGCGTAAAAGTTCTGGAACTTATATCAGATATTTAATTTGTATACCAGCAAATGGAAAGTAAGTTTTTGAATTGAAGAAATTCATAAACTGAAATAGCTAAAATATGATTTAATGATTTAGGCATAACGTCTAACTCCAGTAGTACATATAAAACGCGCTCATAGCAGCAAAAGCAAGTACTAAATGACAGCTCACCACATTTGAAATCATATTTCAACAAGGCTATCGTCAACTATCGATCGCATGTCCTTGCAGTGTTGCCAGGCTGACGATTTGGTCGTAATTTTTTATTATTATATATATATAATAATATATATTATATTTTATTCTTCTTTGTTTCATCACTATATTCATATTTTATTGAGCAAAGGAAATTATGAATAAGTTATTTAGCAAAACTTGTAAGTATGAACAGTTTTTAATGCACATGGTAAAGTTGGAGTTTGCAAATATTTGATGTTCTCTTTACCTCAGCTGTGGAGCCAGCAGATGCTGCTTTGCAAGAAATCTCAACTCTTGAGGGAATTTTGTTCACACGGGACTTATTACAAGGAAATGGTTGTTCTTGTTTTGAGTTTTATCCAAACACCGATAAAAATGAAATAAAACATTAAAAATTGTACCTGATTAAAGCTTAGTTGGTGAAGAAAATCGTAAAATTCAAATAAAATCATACTCAAGAAATGAAAAAGAAATTTTCTTCAATAAAAATTTCTTAAATCAGTCTGAAGATCTCAAGAAAAAAACGCTCGTATATTTAGTTCTTCAAGAAAATTTACACCAAAGGTAAAGTTCTATTTCAAGCAACAAAAATAATGAAACACTACTAGAGAAAAACTTTGTGACAAAAAAAAATGTTATACGACGTATCCAAAGTTTCACTAATCAATTTTAAATTTAACAGACTGTTAAAATTTAAAATGTTTAATTTTCCGAATAAAATTGTGTCATCTTAATTTTAACAGGCTGAATTAATTATCTAAAAATGAAGATGAAAATGCGATTTTATTGCAATTAAAAGTATTTGTGTTAAAAGTAATGTGAATTTTAAAAATTCGTAAAAACGTTTATTTTTTTTATTTTTTACGTACATATATCAATCAGAAGAAACCAAAAGAGCTTCCTGCAAATGATGATTTTTGAGAACCAAACTGACGATTTCTCACTTCAGTGACCTGGCAACACTGTGTGTGCACTAGTCCAACCATACAAATGTATGAACTTTTCTACATGTACATAAACATACATACACATAGATTCAGTAAACAGCAAACGCTTAGAAGTGAAAATACATACATATGTACGCGTATGGATACACACATCTTACATACCTGCGAAAATCGTTGGACTAAGTATGTCGTCCATTTGTGCCATATTGGAGTACTTACAACATGCTTCTCTGTAATGCAGTAGCGGACGGACCACCTCTTGTCTCTACACCAGCTTATTGTTACCCGACCATTGCTCGTGTTTTAGCCATTGTAATCACTATGAGATGTTTATAAGGGGTGTTTTACCAAGACGTAGGTACTCCATTTAGTAATCCCTTGGAGTAGTTTTGTGCGACTCTGATATAATCCAGAGCTATAGTATATAGTCCTGCCCTAGGACTTCGCAATATTAATTGGTTCACATTTCTTATATGCATTTCGGCTAATNCGGGGTGTGCTACCAAGAGGTAGGTAGGTACTCCATGGAGTAATCCCTTGGAGTAGTTTTGTGCGACTCTGATATAATGCAGAGCTGTAGTATATAGTCCTGCCCTAAGACTTCGCAATATTAATTGGTTCACATTTCTTATATGCATTTCGGCTAATTTTGGAGTACTCTTTGTATGCGTGCAGGGATGTACATTTAAATAGTAATGTACGTATGTATATAGAATACAAATGTATGTATACACATACTATGTACATTGAGAGAGTTTTAGTATGTAACAGTCAATGAAAATCAACCTTGAAATATTAGAAATACCACATAAGCGCAATTATGTATAGCTTTGAAAGTCTCTACCGACGTGTTGATATCCTTTACACAACAATAAAAAATGTAGAAAACACACGAAAAAGAACAAAAGTGGCACTTATGAGTGGCATTCGTACATATGTATTTGGAAAAGAATAAGCAAGCGACTCTCTGAGACATTCAATGCATACACAGAAGGACACAAATAAACACGAAATATCTAATAAACAGGGCTGGCAAATCTAAGCAAAAGCTTGAGAACGCTTATTTAGCATATACATATATTTGACATAATAATAGATTGGCGCGTTTTTGGCCGAGCTTCTCCTCCTATTTGTGGCATGCGTTTTGATTTGTCACACAAAGGGGAGAAGAGACCTGCAGTTTTACGCCGACTCCGAACGGCGATTGTATTATTACGACAAGCTGTTTTTTTCATGGCAGAAATACACTCAGAGGGTGGCCATTGCCTGCCGAGGGGCGACCGCTATTACTAAAAAACTTGTATACTTTAACTCCGATTTTATTTAACAGAAATATTGAAAGATTGAAATTAAACTTTATTGATTGAGCTTATTTCAGAGAATTTTTTCTTTATTCAGCGACTGGTTTTGATGTGCATATTTTTGCCAGCCCTGCTAATAATACAGCAGAGACCAAAGCAACTGGGTGACGCGTTTGTATTGTACATACATATATGTATGTATATGAATGTACTACGCTAACGAAACATCTATTTCAATTATAGGTGGCATTTGGTAATAACGTTGATGTAGGCACGGACTAGGCCGACATGCAATCGAAATGTCCTTGACGTGAGTTCACGATGAAAAGCGCAATTGAGTCAGTGTTAAGTGTTACAAATGTACATATGGTTGTACATAGCGATTACTCAAATGCAGGCATTGGAGGCCGTCGTCGACATGTATGGAATAGATGGGTCGATGAGTGAGATGAGGCCTTTAAGAAATCTGATTTTTACTCTGCATAAATAATTTAGAACTCATTAAATCCATTCACTTTTATTAGCTTTCATTGTTTGCTGTTTTCGAGCGCAAGTCAAGTGTATCAAAAATTTTAGCATTACTTTTGATTTAAAACGCAAATGAAGATGACGAGATGCAAATTTTAAACAGAAATGATTGTATGTAAATATGTGTTCAGGCATTGTTTTTCGTGACTAATAAAAATGATTAATTGATAGCCAAATAAAACCGAAGTGAATGCGGCGATTTATTGAGCTTAACTTAGAGAGCCAGATTAGTGCTAACAGCTACATACATAAGAAAGCGCACGTTTATTAAAAATAAAATTTAGAATTTTTCTACTAAAAATAGAACTTCTACTAATAAAAATTTGCAAATGAAATTTTGTTCTTTATACTGCATCTATTTTCATAAAAAAATAGTAAACATTTTCTTCATAAAGAGTTCAATTCCTAAGGGCTTTGGTCATTCTTCAGTCATTTAAATGGCACGCATACCCA